TTTCATAAGGAAAAGCGTGATAAGAATGGTGGTAAAGGGTCTAACGGTAAGCTCCAGTCTGTTAGATGTCATCAGTGCCAGGGGTTTGGGCACTACAGGAATGAATGTCCTAATTTCAAGAGGATCTCGACAAAGGATGGAGGTAAAGTATTTGTTGCTGCATTAAATGGTGAAATAAGTGACGTGCAAGTTACTTTCATTTAAATGGGAGTTTTTTTTTTAAATAATTAACATTATGGGTTTTAAATGATTAAACAGTTATGACACTAAGTGGTTATTACCAATTTAAATGAAATGCCTAGTCAAGAAAAAGAGAAGTCACATTGAGGGATGAGAAAAATTAAAACTCGTGACTGAATAGATGAGAGTTATTTGAAGACAAAAACCATATTTAAGGATTATTTGGCATAACAATATGTGTATCTATATTTTTAAAATTTTAGGAACTTAATCAACACAAATATTTAAAAGAAATTTGACACCTTAAAAGACAAGTATGCGCAAAGTTACTATCGTGACCGACTTTAATTTGAACTCTTAGGAAGTGTCGTAGCGACGAAATAACATAATCCAAATTATTTTTCGATTTATACATGAAAAATTATTTTAAAATGAAACACAAAGTTTTATTTTATTTTATTTTCTCAGTCACTACAAAAAGCAACGAGCTTTGTCTACCTCTGAAGTTTGATCGATGAAATTATTGAATCTACTGCATGGTACATCTTATGAATCTAATATCCTTATAATTGAAATCAAGTGCCTATGAAATGTAACAATTTAGAATAAAAAATTTATACCGTCCACATTCTTCATGAGTGGTAGCTGGATCCTAGATGCAAACTCTTGAATTATTGTATATATAGCAGATGACTATTTTGGTCCTTCGAATATGATGTAGAATCAAAGTGAGAAAAGCAAGAAAAAGAAGGAGAAGAGGAGAAAGGGGAAGAAGCCAAGAAGGGGAAGAAAACGTGGCAAAGCCAACTCAAATTTTATTCAATCATCAACTGAAATCAACTACAATGAAAAC